TTATTTTATAATTTATATATATTGTAAGGCTTTATAGACCCTTCCTACTCTCCTGTAAACCTTTCCCACTCTCTTACTAACCTTTCCCACACTCTTATAAACACTTCACATGCTCTTAAACACTTTCTACACTTGTAAACCTACATAATTTTAACAACATGTAAGATTCTATATGGGCACTCACCAGTGAAGTATACTACAACATGAATGAGGAGAGATGTGGAATGTATGTTGGTCGCCTTCGATTCCATCAGCCAGTACTGTGCCATGTATAATCTCACGTTGGTGAACTTGTGCAAGTGGTACTGATGTACTGCATTTCCACTGTGCACAGTACGGTATTTATCGGCTGATGAAATAATACTGTAATTTATTTCAATTTAATAGTCTTTTAATATGTTTGAATTAACATTTTTTAAACTTTTGTATTGTTTAAAATTGTTTAGGCAAAAATATTTAAAATCATAAATATTATATAAAGACCTATATACCTCAAAATCCCACAATATAGTGAAAATTCTGCAATGCAGAATTAGATTTTTTTTTAAATACCTGCACTACAGTGAAGCTGCAATAAGTGAACCACAATACAACGAGGGACAACTGTACTTTACAGTGATGTAATTTGGGCAAGGCTGACTATACTCCTTTACCTGACTCCTATAATCCAAACACTTGTCTTAATTTGGAAGGGGGATATGGAGGGTAATTGTCCCTACACCAAGTTACCAACACATACCGGAGTATTATTAATATCTAAAAAGGTTGTCTGAGTTTTGGCATAGAAATAAAATCTGATAATGACATTGATGTGACTCTGGCAATTCCAAAAGAATCACCTACTGTGATATTGTCCAAGACAAATTTCACATTAACATGCCATAGAAACCAATTAAGCATGATCCTTAACCATAGAGAAGAAATCCACTATTATAGTATAAACATTATGACAAGCCAGATATTGGCACATAGTTAATATGTACTAAATGTGAGAGCTATGGCTCTGCTACTGGGAAAAAGAATTTCATAGACGTTTCATAGAGTTAATTACCTAAATGATGTTAAAGCTTAATGGTTGTATAATTAAATATACATCTACTTGCAGAAGGGGGAATAACAGAAGAACAAATTGAAAAATTGAACATGAACATATGAGAAATAGGAGGAAAACTGTGGCACAAGTGATCCTAATAGTGACTAGTAAAATCTCTATAAAATTAGTACAAGCAAGAGAAAAAAAAATGAAGAGAATTGGAAGTTAGCAAAATTAAAGGGAGAAAATATTAAAAGTTATATGGATAGTAAAATTTTAAAAATATATAAAAGGAAACATTTAATGAAAAAGAGAGAATGGGAAAAATATAAAACAAAAAGAAATAAGAAGAAAAATATGTTTTGGTGATGTTCAATCAGTAGACTCCTTTCTGGATGTGGAATTTTGGAGTCTCGCACTTCTCCATTTTCTGAGGCCCCCTGTGGTTTTCCCAGACTCTGCTGCATCCGAGTCATGATGTACTGCTGCACACACTGGTAGAGAAGAAAGACAACCAGCCCCCAGATCCGTGCTGGAGGCAGCAGAAGGGCAAGGGCTTGAATAGCCAAGGCTGAGACTTTCAAGGCCAGAGCGTCTCAGGCTGGGCCTGGCCTTTTGCTACATGTGGCAAAGCTGTGTCCTTCCCACGCGAACCCAAACCCCTCAGGGGTCTTTTTCCAGCCTGCTTTCTGTCCAAAGCTGTTTCCTGTTGCTGACACTCACACTGTCTCTGTGGGCAGATAGGCACTGAAGTGAAGCCATCCCAGTTCTGAGTCGCAGGTTCAAGCAGTTAAGCCTTTACCCCATGGCGTACCATGCTCACCCCCTCTCCAGGGCTGCGGCCGCACCTGCATTCAGGAAAATTACCCGCTTTTACCTGTCCAGCTCAGCTCTACACTGTCCCTGCAGATGTCAGCAACCTCCGGTCCACGAATCCAGAGCTTCTCCCTAGGACCCTCTGTAGCCTGCAGGTTTCTTTTTGATTTTACAAACTCAGTCTCCTTTTGATATGAGCCAGAAAGCAGGAAGAAAGTCCAGAATGTTTGGTACCCTCTCCACGTTATAGTCTTTCTCTTCAACCTCACTGTTCTTTTTCAATTTCTTCTCAATTCCTTTCTGATTCCCTGGCACTTTCTCTCAATTTCTTTTTTATTTTCCTGACTCAGGTTGTTATTTTTCAGAGTCTAGATACTGAGTCTGTGGGAGGCTGAATTGCTGCTGCTCACCACTCCTTCATTTTCCAGCACAGAACACCTGAAGGTAACCCACATTCATATAAAGGTCACTGCAGTGCCTGGTTCCCCAGTTCTCACCCCGGCATTCCAGTGAGAGTGGATTTATGTGAATTGCTGTCATTTATACTAACAACTGGGGAAAAGAAGACTCAGGAAGGTGAGAATCTTAGTTGAAGAGGTGACACAGGTCAGCAGAGGGAGCTTCATATAGTCAGCAGAAGTAGGACCCCAAGAGCCAGCCAGTCCAAGCTGTGCTCACTTCCTGAGGATGATGGATGTCCTATGTCCAGAAAGCCCAGACCTCACAGAATGTGCATGTTCCCCGGGTCAGCTGAGTGGACCTAGTTGTATGCAACCTTCTGCAACTGTTATGAAGACAGTCATCAGGAGATGAGGTCGTGTTATCCAAGGGAGAGATCAGCTCATCTCAGGTGGGGTGGGGTTGAGGGAAGGTAGGCAGCAACAAGAGGGTAATGGAGTTCACTGCAGCGTTCCATGCAAGCTCCTACCAGGGGGCCAATGAGTCTGTGACAAAAGGCTGAAGAATCCAAGGCAGAAGTCGAAGAGTCTGCACTAGAAGCCAGGAGACAAAGTCTAAGCTGAAGGTGAAGACTGGAGCTCCTCCAAAAGGGATGGAAGTTCCTCTGTCCTTCCTCATTTCCCTTTTATATTATCTAGGTGATGATCTACCCTAGAGTGGCTCCTCTACACACTAGGGTGTAGAACTGCTGAGCCAATTGCTGAGCCAAGTTTAGCTAAGCTTTTAAACATTTCAAGTTGACATAATCAATCAACCACAACACTTACTAATACTCTGACTGCTGAGACACAATACTTGACATGTGCAGTTTATTGGAAGAAAAGTTGCCTTGGAATAACAATTTATAGGGTTTTCACTAGACAGTCCGCCAGCTACAAGGTAGAATAGTAGAGTGGAAGGGCCTGGCCGGAGGAAACCTGCTCAGCACAAGTCCTCCAGGAAGCAGAACTGAAAGGAAGAACCAGGTTGGGAGGTAGAAACTCCCTGTCGCACCAGGTGACCTCTCTTTTCTTAGCAGGTGCCACCACCTGAAAGCAATCTAGCCATAAAGCCCATACTGCAGACACCTTCCAAAGGTCCTCTCAGTGTCCCCATGTATCTTTCAGAGGAGATCTAGACCATAACCAGGGTCTCACACCACCAGTCAGATGTGCACAGGTCTTGCTGTCAGCATTGATAGCACCATGTAGGGATGACAGGATGGCCATCTGACTTATCTGAGATTCTTCAGGATCTCATGGGGGTGACAGTCTAGCTCTGAGACATGTGTGCAGGCTGTCCTCAGGGATCCCCATCTGGTCAGGGACTCACAGGTGTCCCAGGATCACCGAGAGTCAAAATGAGGACACTAAGGAAGGATTTATGGTACTTCTGACCTGAACACAGAGAAGTGGGTGCTCCACAGATTTTATGTTGCTTCTTCAGTCATCTGGGGAAGCCTGGGCAGGGCTCTCAGGCTCAGGCTGCTCTCTTAATTCTGCGCTGTTGATCTTAGGAAGCTGAAGGCCTTGGTAGGAGGGAGGTGGGGCAAGGAGAGCAGAAAGAGGATGCCAAGGCCTGTCAGGAGTCCAGGATTGGGCAAAGTCAAACCCTATAGCTGACCATGCACCAAGATACATTCCACCTGCCTCCTTGACACCTATCCTTAGACCCAGGGAACAGATGGAGTGGACTCCCTTCTCTCCCTCTTGGAATGACTCAGAGAGATAGACCTGTGATTTCAAGAAGGTGGCCCCTGACTATTGCGGGGGGAGCCCCAGAACTGACTATCAAATGAGGATGGGGCAGGTTCCACTTCCCAGGGCACATGGAACCCAGGGAGCTTGTCCACTTCCACCTGTTGCCTCCAGGCAGCTATGTCCAGCTGTGTGTCCCCTTACGCACTTTTGTTCCCTCTCAGGGGCAGAGATTTTTTTTCTGAGTTTGCCTCAGGCAAGCAGAGGGCTGGAAACGAGGTCCTACTTAAGGACAGATGTTGGCCCTGAGTGAGCAGAGAGGTGACCATCCACTAGAAGAGTGGGAACTCTAAAGTCAAGTCCATCTCTCATGTGAGGTCTGGGAGAGCAGGACTATGCTTGAGGTCTGCAGTCTGAGGGTCCCCATGCCTCTTACAGGAGCTCCAGGAAGCAGGCGGAAAGGTCTTGTTGTGAAGCAGTGTCCAGAGCTCACACAGCAGGAGACCAGGGCGGAGTCAGGAGTCAAGGTGAGGTGCATGCCTTGATGGATTCCTAGGGTTCCACCTACCCCAGAGCAGAACATGTCATCACCCCCAGGCTGCATATGCCTTACCCTCATCCCTACAGCCTTGTCCTCTGTGAAGCAGCCTCACCTCATGCCCCAGGATCATGGGGACAGGGTGATAGGAGGACAGGAGCTGTGAAACCCTACAGCACCTCCCAAGAGAAGACCTATAATGTGCTTTTGGGGGAGGCAAGAAGCGTGTTGTGCTCAGCTGAGAACATTAATTGTCTCCCTCTCTCCTCCAGGCATCTGAGTCTTCAATATCAAGCTCTTGCTGTCCACAGGGAACACCATGATGCCTCACGGTCATGGAAGCCCAGAAAGAAAGCTCGAGAGTGGCCGTCCTGCTCAAAGCAGTACACGGGTCTCCATGGGTGCGCAGGTCCTCACGGATGATGAGAAGGAAGCAGCAGCCAGTGCTTCCTCTTCCTCCTCTTCCTCCTATGCTTCAATGGGGGCCACAGCAAGAGAAGAGCCTGGGTCTGGGGCACCAAGTTGTCCTCAGAATCCTCAGGGCATCTTTTCTCTCCCTACTGCTTTGGCTTCCAATGCAAGGAGCCAGTGTTGTGAGAGCTCAGGTAGGCAAGGAGAGGAGGGTGCGAGTTCCTCCCAGGGCGAGGATGCCTCTCAGGTCATGCAGGATGAGCTCCTAAATGACAAGTTAGATAAATTGCTGCCATTCCTGCTCCAGAAGTATCAAAAGAAGGAGCAGGTCACCATGGAAGAAATCCTGCGTGTCATGGACCCGGGTTATCGTGCGTATTTGCCTCTGATCTTTAGGCTTCTCTGTAAGTGCATGTATCTGACGTTTGGTATTGATATGAGAGAAGTGGCTGCCCCTGGCCACACATACGAGCTTGTCCCCATCTTGGGCCTCACTTATAATGGGATACTAGATAACGAGGTCCAGATCTCTGCCAAAGCAGACCTCCTGATACTCATCCTGAGTACAATCATTATAAAGGGCAACTCTCTCAGTGAGGGGGATCTAAGGGACCTACTGAGCAACAGGCAGGAATTAGGTGAGAGGGAGTATGTTATTGAGGATCCCTGGAAATTCATCACTGAGGATTTGGTTCGGGAAGGGTACCTGGTGTATCAGCAGGTTCCTAACAGTGATCCTGTTTGCTACGAGTTCCTGTGGGGTCCGAGGGCCCATGCTGAAACCACCCAGATGAAAGTCCTGACGCACATGTTCAGCCTTGATAGGACAGACCTCAGGTCTTACCCACATGTATGCAAGCAGCCTCCTAGAAAGAAAAATGATAAGTTGAGGGCCCGTAAGGGGAAGGATGAGTGACATGCACAGGGAGTGTTCCACAAGCACGTCACTGCTTAGGCTCCCACCACACATGAAATGAGGTCTATTCTCAGCTGATGTTTCGGGAGACCAGGCAGTTTTCTAAGTGGTGAGGGTGCAGGGGTGGGAGTGAATACGGGGCATGCCATCTTGATCTTTGTTCTGCTTAGATTACTACTTAATGAGTATGTCATTTCTTCATGACTTTTTCAAGTCTTATTTCTTTGAGAGATTTAAGTAGCTTGCAAATCTTACTGGAAGAATGATGCTGATCTCACATGTACTTTTAGTTTTATATTGATGTTTAATTGTGATTTCTGATACGAATATGATTTTGTGATTTTGTTCACAATTGTGATTTTTCCACTCCCAATATAAGTGTTGTTACTGTTTTCTCAAACAAACTAGGAAGCCTCACATTTTATTTCTGAAAGAATAGGATTGGAATAGGGATGTCCTTGGAAATGTGTATGTTTGCATGAAGTTAGATGAAGTCAGAAATAGACATAAGGATAAAAATCAGTTCTTGAATTCTTTTTCTTTTTCCCTATTGTGCTATACTATTAAAATATATGCATACCTGAATTTGCGTGGTTTCTTTGATTATACTAGGGAAATTTACTGTCAGTAAATAAGCCCATCTCCTCACAGGCAAATTGACCCCAAACCTTCATTGCACTTGTGCCCTTTTATGGCCCTGCATCTGTGGTGGAGATATAAGAACACTAGACTGAGCAGGATCAAAGTGACCCCATAGGATGATGGAGTCCAGGATAGTGTCGGCAGACAAAGAGATATCCTCAAGGAACTTAAAGGAAGGTAGCAGAGCCCTAAGTGGGTGGAATCTAGCAGAGAGCAGCCATGGGTGAGCGCAGAACTAGGACAGGTTGGGTTGGCTACCTGCAGTTGATTTTGCAGGTGTTGATTTTAACACAGCTCCATGCCAGCCAGGACCAGACCCTCAGATGTGGTGTCTTGGGCCTGAGAGGATGGCAGATTGCTTTTAGCAAACTTTTAGATGGTGGGTGATGACAAGAGAAACAGAGATGAGAAGATGGCCCTTCACAGGGCAAGAACCAGGAGACTCGTGCCCCACATCTGCAGGGATTTCCTGAGAGATAAGGGTGACATTCAGGTAAACATAGATCAAAAATTCCTTGGTCAGGTGCTCTGGTCTCTGCTGGGAGTGTCCATTTTCCAGGGGTTTGTGGTGCCCAGTTGACTGCTTTTCTGGGGACACCTTATTCTGAGTCCACTTTGCCTCAAACAGTCTTACAGGGTGGACATGAGTATCCGGTCAGTGATGCTGTTGTTTTAGTCAAGTGGTCAGATGACTGGCTGACCAAGTATTTCTCCCTGCAGAGAAATTCTTAGTGTTTACCAGTATCTTCCCCATCTTACTCCCACGGTGCATCTGGGAGAGCACTCAATCATTTCCTTTGTTGTGGCTGGGGATTTAGCTCAGCGGCAAAAGCACCTGCCTGGCAAGCGCAAGGTCGTGAGTTTGGTTCCCGGTACC